AAATAATAAAATTTAAAAATAGTTTAAGTACAAACAGCTGAATTTAAACTATAGGACTTGAAAGTTCTAACTAAATTCAGTGTTGTTTATCTACTGTATAATAATTATATAAAATACTAAATCCCTGTCATCTGCCAAAACAGAACTTTGTAGGTCAGATCAAAGCTTACAGATTCTCTCAGCAGGGCTCTTGCAGTCCTTTCTGCCTGCTGGCATGCTGCTTTTGAAAGCATGGCAGCCACTTGGCTTTGAATCTTTGTATAGGAGGGAAATAGTGAATACTGGAACAAGATAATAGCATTACACACCAGCTGCATTTGTTCTGCAAGGGAAATTTCACGAATCTGTGCAGTACAATTATTTGTAATCAAATAATTTGTTTTCTTTATATGTTTACATAGAAATACATACTAGAAATTGCTTAGTTTTCTGACTCTGATACTTCTATGAATATACAAATGAATAGTGCTAAATTTTCTAAATAAATTACTTGGTTTTGTATCCAATTGTGTTTTTTTAATCGCACTATAAACTGTGACCACCTGGGGAAGGGAAGGTGAGTTTTGATGCTACTTTCCAAACCTTTTAATTGTTTACATGTCTAAATTCTCACAAATATTTTAATACAACAGCATAAAAGACTTGATCATTTTTCATAGCAAATGTCTTCTTTAGGCATACAAACAAAAGTTTGAAAGGCATGGCCTGAGTCATCAAGTCTAGTTCACTATTTAAGATGGAGAAGTTATGCAACTCTTCTGATAGGGTCACCTTGCTTATGTGTTAACAAATGGAAAATGACAGACATGCTTTGCTATCCTTAGCTAATTGAAATGATTTCTGCAACCCTTTTTGGTGTTAGGTTCTCCATTCCTTCAGACAACTATTTTAACTCTTCTGGATTCTAACATTTTCTTAATATTGGATGAGCAGTTATGTGTAGCACTCCAGGTAAAACCCCAGCAATGTCTTCTGCAGCTAATAATTTTCTTTCTAATGCCCCACTTTTCCTCAGTTCATTACCTAATTTATGAGCTCCTAGTTTAGCAGCAGAAGTTCTTATTTCCCAATTGCATGACATTGTATTTTGTACTGCTGAATTTCCAGTCTCAAGTTCATCCAGTTATAGTGCAATACTCTGTTCTCTTCAATTCTGAAAATATTAAAAATGTACAACTGAATTGTAGAAGAAAGGGATTCTTAAAAGTATTAACCAAGCCCTGTGTTAGAATTCTCTTAAGGTTTTTATGATTTGGCAAACAACTATTATTTGCTATGGACTGTCCCATTAGCCACAAGGAAAATAGGAAAAAAGTTAATTTATTGTAATCAAATAACAAATGCAAGGCACTTTTTTTTTGTTTGGGTTTTTTTTTGTTTGCATTTGTTTTTTTAATACTGAGGAAACTGAATTTTAGAGGATTTGAAATTCCTTGACCTATTTAGGAACTGAATACTTGGTGATTTTAAGAGCAGCAGTTGTGCCTGTGTGAGATCAATCATAGAGATTTCTGCCTGAAGTACATGACCTAGGTTGCTGTTAATCGCCTGTAATTAAGGAGTGCCTCATCTGGCCAATAATGCATCATGAAAATAATCAGAAAGTGATCATCCCTTTTGTGGGGTGAGGTGAATTGCACACCCTCCCTTGTGAATTTTGTGTGCATCTAAATACATTTCACTGTGTTAACATAGAACAAACTAAAATTTGAGTCTTAGAGCCATATTCTGAGCTGCCATACTGTTCAAATACACAAAAATGGCTGATGACGGGAGTTAGTTATTTGTCTTCCAGTGTTGTTTTAGGATCTGGTCATATTTCTCACCATAAGCCATTTGAATATGGGAAAATTCTCATTCCAGTTTAAAGCTACTAGAAATATTAGCTCCCTGTATACGTTAGTTGTAAGATCACCAGCTCCTGTCTTCCTATTTTCTAATTTTCAAATGTTTAAAAGTTACTCTGCAAGTAACATGATACAAAGCTTTGTGTTCTATTTTAGATCCTTTGCCTCCTGTAACTGATCCAGCTCTCTGTTAAGCCACCCTGCACAACAGTGCCATATTTTTGTATCTGTGTTTTCTTGCAACTTCAACCTTGATGCAGTAACCCCAGCTCCCTCATGCCGCCTGCGTATTTCCTGCTGTTGTTTCTTAAGTCTCCTCTCTGGGGTTGAGGATTGGGTAAATGCAGCGTGTGGTAATGACACAGCTGTCATACAAGCCAAATGAGAAGGGAAGTTTGAACTTTGCCTTTCTTTCAGCAGAGAATTAGTCTGTCCTCTAACCAGTTTCTAATATAATGGCATTTCATATTTCTACTTTTGAATACTTTGCAACATTACTAGTGGGAGAGGGAGGTATTTATTTTAACTGTAATGTTTTAACATTGGTGAGGGTTTTTGTAAAGCAGCCAGCCATTTTTATATATATATAGTATCATATTTATCACACTGTGGCCCACGGTAAGACAGGCAGTCTTAGATGAACAATCCAGACTTCCACAACTTCAGTTAGAATGCCTTCCAGGGACAGTAGCATGCACTGAGCAAGAGAAAGGAGGTCTCACAGACATTTGCAGGAGGCTTCTCTGTGTCCCTCAGCTCACAATCCAGGTTGGTGGGGAACACACAGCAACTGCAGTTGAAGTGCACAGCAGATACTGCAGAGTCTTCCTGAGATCTTACAAGGCGCCTGACGTGAAAAAGCAGGCTTAGAGGCTGTGGCAGCAGGGATGTAGTCCGATCAGTGTGAGGCTGGGAGAGCAGCTTACAGTGCTGCTAAGAGGTGGGTAAGCAGCTCAGAAACGGAAGCTGCTCTGGAATTAAGGGAAAGTCTTTAATAACATTTAAACGGCTTCAGTAAACTCAGGTTATGTTTTGTCTGTGCTTCTGATTAAATAATTTCATGAAAACATGTTAGAAACACTTACTAAAAACCCAGGCTGTTTCCACTGTGTAGATTCGGTTTAAATGGCTGTATTGTTTTCCGATATTTGTTATGCAAAAACAATTACTTGGGATGTAACCTTTCATCCAGACATTGCTTGGCAGCAGGTAGGAAAATGTTAACATACTGGCTCCATCCCCAGGCCACAGACCTGGGAAATTTCAAGTGTAAACAATTTGAGATTGTGAGCAGCAGCAAACAACTTTGCTGAAAACTGCTTATGCAAGAACTTCCTACCCCATTTAAGTTCCAATGGATTAGAGTAACAAAGAACTACTATTCACAGCATTTAATGTGTCTTATTTTTGATGGAAATCAATTGGGACAGAATTTCCAGAAGCAGGTAGCTATGTCAAGAGAGTTGGTGATACATAGCTAAACAAGGTAACCTCTTCCACCAGCAGCACCTCAGGATCTGTGTAGGGCTGCACTCAAGCCAGGAAGGGGCTGAGTGGGCCCGGGCCTGAGTGAACTGAACAGGGTGTGAAATACTGGATATGATGTGAAATTGCGGGACATGATGTGCAACAGTGCAAGAAACTGGCAAGTGCTGGGGTGGATGGCTGGATCTCAGCAGTGGTTAGGGGGGAGTAATGAAAAACACCACAGATAACTGGTGAATAGTTTTGAGGGTCTGTTCAGAACTAGGAATTTGCAGGGCCAAAAGCACCTAGTAACCATATTTATGCAGTAAAATCCAGCAAAGAAACCCTCTAAGCCTTGAAGTTTCACAAAGCAGGCATTTATTGCGGCGTGCTGAATGCACAGGGGTTGCTTATGCCTGGTGTGCACGCCACAAGTCACAACAGGCTGAGCTTATATTACTTAGTTACATACATAGGCTATTCATATTCATATTGCACATGCGCTCTTCGTTTTCTAGAGACTTCTACAAGGTTCTTTGGTCATCTTCAAGGGATGTCCTGGAGTGTCCTGGAGTGCCCTGGAGTTGAACCTTCCTTCTGGCATGCACAGTGCTCCCCTGCTCCCCTAGCCTGTACCTTGTTCTCCTTCTGTACAGTGAACTGGCTGCAACTAGTTTTAACCACAAGTTGCAGGGTCCCTCAAACCCAGAGCCTTCCTGCAGGCCTTAGGAGTTAGAAAACTGACCCAAGTGTAGCTCCAGACGGCAGAACTGCTTAAACCAGCACAATTAAGCATCTTTCAAACCTGTCAGCATAACCTTAAAAGTCAAGCTATCTTTAATATATCCACTCAAGCAAGATCCCGCAGCAAAGTGCTTACAACCGTTCCCCCGGTGTGAAAAAGACGCTAAATTCAGCGTTTCCCATCCCTTCACTTCCCAAGGGAGCTGTGGCTCCTCGGGAAGGT